GCGTTCACCCAACGAGTCGCCGGTCAGCCTCCCAGGACCCGCAGCCGACGCCTAAGCCCAAGCTGGCGCCGCAGCCCCAGCTGTCATCGAAGCCCCAGCTGGCGCCGAACCCCCCACGCAGGAAAGAGCCGAGGCCCCAACAACCTCCGCGGCGTGATGGTCTGTGGGGGGTGGGGGGTGGCACCCCCGCCCCCCAACATACCTGACGGCTCAGAGGATGGCCGACCCGATCACAAACAAGAGAACCTAGCCACAGCAGCAATCGACCATGCTTCTCCAACGACAAAGAAGGGGGCAACCCGAATGGGGTTGGGGTTAGACGCCCCCGTTGCCCCCATCCCCCTAAGCACACCGCCATTTGCCCCAAAAGTGGCGCAGAGCACCAGCCAGGGATAAGGAAGTCGCGTTTCCGACGTTCGGCCACGTGGAGGCGTGTGCACCTCTTCGTCCTCCATCTCCTCCATCTCCTCCGTCTCATCCATCTCCTCCAGTTCCTCTTCCACTTCCTCCTCCTCCCCTCCTCCTCCTCTCCTCATCCTCCTCCTCCTCCTCCTCCTCTTCCTCCTCCTCCGCCTCCTCCTCCTCGTTCCTTCAACACATAAACAACTCCGCCCAGTCGCACCCCAAGGCCGGTCGAAAGGGCGGGCCGACCGCTTTGCCTAAAACTTCCTCGTCACTTACGACCCTGGAACTTAAAGTCGACTAAACTTCGCACCGATTGAAGGCGGGCGGTTTTCAAAATGTCGCTCTCGCCTCAGCGCCGCACACCTTCGTTCTTAGAAATTGCAGGAGCTTCACGGATGGATGGTGGCCCATTTTCAAAATTTGGCTATCGCCTCAGCGCCGCGCACATTTGTTCGAACAAATTGCAAAAGCGTCACGGATTGAGGGCGGGTCGTTCTCAAAATGTGACTCTCGCCTACGCGCCGTGCACACTCGCTTCAAAAATGTGCAAGAGCTTCAAAGATTGAGGGCGGGTCGTTTTCAAAATGTGGCTCTCGCCTGGGCGCCGTGCACATTCGTTTCCAAATTTGCACGAGCTTCACGGATTGAGGGCGGGTGGTTTTCAAAATGTGCATCTCGCCTTCGCGCCGCGCACTTTCGTTCGACAAGATGAAAGCGTTGCACGGATTCCCATGGTCAACATGCCAGAGATGGTGTTTTGAAAAGACTCAAGAGTGTAAGGGCGCGACAATTGCGTTGATTCGCGGTGTTGGTGTTCTGGCGCGGTTCCAGTTTGTCCAGACGCAAAATTCGTATTGACTCGTGGCGCTGAAATCGCGAGAATCATGTTTTGGCACGTTTCGGGGTCTTCAAGCGGTTGTCTCAAAACGAAGCCGTTCCCCAAGCGCTTATGAAGAGGGAGCTTGGAACAAGGGTATATTCCAACATCGTTGACGGTTGTTGGCTTCACACTGGTCCTCCTCCTCCTCATCCTCCTCCTCCATCCTCTTCCTCTTCCTCTCCTCTTCCTCCTCCTCCTCCTCCTCCTCCTCCTCCTCCTCATCCTCCTCCTCCTTCTCCTCCTAGTGCTCCTCCTCCTCCTTCTCCTCATATCCTCCTTCACTCCTTTTCCTTGTAGATACCTCTGCCCCGTCGCACCTCGAGGCTGGTCGAAAGAGCGGGCTGGGCAGTTCGCCTGATACTTCCCCACCACTTATGTCCCTGAAGCATAAAAACTGGCAAAGCCTTCACAAATGGATGGCGGGCGGCTTTCAAAATGTGGCTCTCGCCTTCGCGCCGTGCACATTCGTTTCAAACATGTGCAAGAGCCTCCGGGATTGAAGGCGGGTCGTTTTCAAAATGTGGCTCTCGCCTTCGCGCCGCGCAGATTCGTTTCAAAAGTTTACAAGAGCTTCACGAATTGAGGGCGGGTGGTGTTCAAAATGTGGCTCTCACCTTCGCACCGCGCACATCCTTTCTAAATGTGTGCGAGAGCTTCACGGGCTGAGGGCGGGGTGGTTTTCAAAATGAGGCTCTCACCTGGGCGCCGCGCAAATTCGTGTTACAAATTCGCAAGGAGTTTCATTAGCTGTCATGGTTAATGTACCAGAAACTGTGACTTGGAACGATTCAGGATTGGCAGGGAGCAACAGTTACGTGGCTTCGCGGCGTTGAAGTCCCAGGAATGGTAGTCTGACACGACTCAGGATCGCCTAGACATAAAAGTAATACTAACGCGTGGCGTTGACAGTCCTCAGAATTGTGTTTGGGCACGCTGCCGGATTTGCACACGGTTGTCCCCCAACAGGGTACGTAATTCTTTCAGGGGCATGAACCTTTGCAGGGGCCTCTGAGAGGGAGTTTGGAGGGAGGGTGCATTCCGACATCGTCGATGACTCTTGGGTTTACACTGGTCCTCCTCCTCCTCCTCATCATAATCATCATCCTGCTCCCCCTCCATCCTCTTCCTCTTTTTCGTCCTCCTCCTCCTCTTCTTCCTCCATCCTCTTCTTCCTCCTCCTCCTCATCATCATCCTCCTCCTCATCCTCTTCCTCTTCCTCCTCCTCCTCCTCCTCCTCCTCCTCCTCCTCCTCCTCCTCCTCCTCCCCCTCCCCGTCACCCTCCCCCTCCCCCTCCCCCTCCTCCTCCTCTTCGTACTTCATCGTTGCGCCACCTTTGCAACCTCCCACCGCGCGTGTGGCGTTCTGCCCGCGCGCGGCGCGCAAGGCAGCGCGGCACGGGCTGGGCCTCCACCTCCACGGCCTGCGCGCGCCTGTGCCGGGCGGGCTCGCAAAAGGGAGAGTCGGAAACTGGGCGACAATTGGCAAATCCGTGGCTGCTAAAACGGTTTTCGGGAGCGGCCAAGAGGGGGGTGCCCAAGAGGGGGGGGGTGCAAATCACGACCGGCGGCATGTGCGTGGCCCAGCGGGGGGGCCAGGAGCGTAATGAACTAAGAAGAGGCGCCATGAAATCTGGGGAAATATCATGGCCCCCGCCATGATATCCACCCCCCCTAGTCATCACCCCCCTCTTTTCCGCCCCCGAGGCTTCCCCGGAAGAACAAAACAAAGTCCCGGAGTGAAACTCAGCGCGCTAAGTAGCAAACGGGCTGCTTCCCGGAAGGAAGAAACCATTTCCCGGAGCTCCGTTGTAGCAGCCACGGGTTTGCCAGCGTTCGCCCGGCTTCTGAGAAAGGGCTGGCCACGGACGATCCTCACGCCCAACCAGCTCCGCCCCCATCTGACTGGCCCAAAAGAAAACGCTCGGGAACGATGTGTTTGTACTTTCGGCGGCCTCCGCCAGCGGAGCTGCCCTCGCTTTGTTACCCATCCGTTTTCCGCAGACATTCCGCCGCCTTCCGCCGAAGCAGGGAAGTCAACCTGTCGATCCCTCGAGATCGAGGCCCTTTCTAAAGCGCCCCGTCTGGGCGGCCTGGACTTATCTCGTTTGCGGGGCTGGCGGGGGCGGGAGCACGTCCTTCGATACGCGCGCTGTTTTCTTGAATTGGTTCAATCACGAAACGCACCCTTCAACAAGCCTCCCACGTCTCACGGTCAACTCGCACTGCGAGCACAATCGCAGTGCGAACATATGGGCGAGACTAAGCCGGCACGAAGAGGAGGAGGGCGGAGGAGGAGAGGAGAGGAGAGGAGAGGAGAGGAGAGGAGAGGAGAGGAGAGGAGAGGAGAGGAGAGGAGAGGAGAGGAGAGGAGAGGAGAGGAGAGGAAAGGTGAGGAGAGAAAAGGAAATGAGAGAAGGGGAGAGGAGCGGAGAGGAAAGGAGAGGAGAGGAGATCAAAGGAGAGGAGAGGAGAACAGAGGAGAGGGCAAGCGGAGGAGACGAGGAGGAGACAATGAGGAGACGGGAAAGAGAGGAGATGAGAAGAGAGGAGAGGAGAGGAGAAGAAAGGGCACGGGGAGGAGACGACGAGAAAACGAGAAGGAGAGGAGAGGAGAGGAGAGGAGAGGAGAGGAGAGGAGAGGAGAGGAGAGGAGAGGAGAGGAGAGGAGAGGAGAGGAGAGGAGATGAGATGAGATGAGATGAGATGAGATGAGATGAGAAGAAATGAAATGAGATGGGAGGACACGAGAGGAAAGGAAAAGAGAAGAGAGGGCACGGGGAGGAGACGAGGAGGAGACGACGAGAACCCAGCCACGGAGCAGCCCAACCGAACCGCGCGGAACGGGACGGAAGCGTTCCAAAGAGCATGAAGCGGGCGAGCGCCGAGGGCGAACGCCGTGTGGCGGACGGAGGGAGGGGGGCGACGGGCCTGCACGCCACGCGGCGAGCCCCCTGCCAACCCCCCTGCTGCCACCCCCGTTTTCCGCGACGCGGTTCGGCAGGCCTTTTCTGGCACAGGAGACCCCGAAGCGCGGGCAGCCTCTGCACGAAGGAGAAAAATGGCGAGGAGGGCGAGGAAAGGGAGGAGGAGGAGGAGGAGGAGGAGGAGATGGAGGGCGAGAAGGAGAGAGAGAGAGAGAGAGAAAAGGAAGGCGAGGAGGCGGAAGGGCGGGAGGCCGAGCAGCCAAGACCCTGGCGATCGCACCAAGCGACATGCCCGCGCCGCCGGGCGGCCGCCCGCCGCCCGCCGCCACCGAAGCCGACGCCCTCCGCGGGGGCAGCCCGTCGGCCCAGGGGTCGTCAAGCAGGGGCGACGGCGGCGCGGGGGCCCCCGCTGCCCCCGCGGCCGCCGTTGCCACGTCCTCCATGGACGTGTGCATCGCCGTCGCCTGCTCCGCCGTTGGATAGAGCAAAGTTTGCACGTTGGTCCCTGCAGTGCCGCCGTTCCCCCCCCCCCCCGCGTGCATCGCCGTCGCCTGCTCCGCCTAGCCCGCCTGCTGCCACGCCCGCGCGGGCGGCGCCGCCGCCGCCGCGGGGCGGCAGCGGGAGGGGGGCCCGCGGCAGCGGGGGGCGCGGGAGGGGCGGGCGGCGTGCACGACGGCAGTGGCCGTCCGAAGGAGGGCCTCGGAAGCGCGCGCGAGGCGCCGGGCCTCGCGGCAGCCTCCAACGAGCCCAGCAGCGGCGCGCGCGGCGAGGAGCGCGCCGCGAAGGGCGCCTTCGGCCGAGCGCACGCGGCGGGCGTTCAGCGTCGGCGGCATCGGCGACAGCGTGGGAGGCGCGCGGCGGCGCGACCTGGCGGGCGAGGCTCAAGCCAAGAACCAAGTGAGAAGACGACGAGGAGACGAGAAGAAAAGGAGATGAGAGGAAAGGATGGAAGAGGAGAGGAGGGAGAGAAGAGTGCGAAAAAGGGCGCAAAAATTCGGACGGCAATTCGGCCAGGCCTGGCGGGGCTTTACTGCCGCTCAGGCCTGCCTCGCATTGGCGGGAGGTGCCGCATAGTGAACAGGGGAGGAGAAACCCTACCCCTGGCGCGGTCCGTAAAGAGCCCGACTGGGGAACACGGCAGACTTGCTGCAATCAGGGAGCGGCACACCCCGTCTGCACATCCGAGCAAAATGTGGCGGCCCCAAGCGCGGCTTGCAATGTGCGCTTCGGTACCTCATCGAACCAAGGCGCAGCCTTGGGACATCCCCCGCGGCGGCCCAGCGCTAGGACTACGAAACAGTTGCCAGCGCTTCGCGCAGCGCACACTTGACTATGGAAAGGCTAGCACCAGCGCGCTAGCGGCGAGCATCGAGGCACACCTGGAAGCCCGCCTGGGGAGCAGGCGGTCGAAATTCCTGATGAAGGCTGCCCCACGTGGACTGCGATCTTCGGAATGCGCCAGGGCGGGGCCCGACGGCTCCTGGATGCACAACGCAGGATATGAGCAAGGCAGGTAGCACACTGTTGCAGCGTCGGGATGCACCCCCCATCGTCGCCGAACCCCTCGGTGGGATCATCGCGCGCCGGGGTGGACGTCGGCATCGTGGACGGGGCCGTCACTTGCCTGGCAGCACGCGACGGCGGCGCAGCCTGACTGGATCTGATCGGATGACGCAACGGCGCGGGCCCACGAAGTCGGCGGGCCAGGTTCATCCGCGACAATACCCCTGGCGCGGTCGGCTTGCACTGCGGCACGTAAGGCGTCAATAATGGCCATGGTGCATCGCTCGACTGGTCTACCACGGCACGCCTGGGGGCTGCTACCCTGGCGAGCCCAAGGTCGTCGTCGACGGCGCTGACCCCCCGTCGCTCCTCGATACCGGCGGCGAGGGCGGCCCCGCGATCGAGGCGGGCGGGTGGCTGGCAGCCGCGGGGGGCCCCGTGGAAACGCGTTTCCGATCGGCGACACGCACCGGAATCACACTGGCGCCTGCGCAGCGGCGGGCGCCGCCGAGGCCTCGAGCGCACGCGCCCAGGGGGGCGGGGCAACGGCCCGATGGCAGGGCGCGCTGCGTCGGAGGCCTGGGCGCGCGGCAGCACCGCCCAGCCCATCAAGTTGCCGCAATGGCACTGGCCCGCCAGGGGCCCGATCCTCGACCCCTCGCCAGCCATCTCGCGCCGCCGGCGCTGGGGGCGCAACTAGCGCCGGGCGCGCGGCTAACAGCAGCGGGAGGAGCGGCAGAGACTGAGCCGCACTCCGCATGGTCGGGCCTCCACGCACAAAACCCGCGCAGTCGGCGGCCCGGCGCCCGGGGCAGGACCCCGGCGGCCCCCCGCCCCCAGAGGCATTGTTGCCGCGTGTCTTCGCGATGCGGAATCAACGGAAAAGCGTCGCGCGTGGGCCTGTCCACCGGCGGTGAACTGCGCAACTATCGCCCATGCCCCTTCTCCCCGGCGGCTGGCTTCGAAACCTTTTTTGGCCCCCGTTAGACAGCGGGGCGGGGCGCGGGCCCAGCTGTCGGAGCTGCTCCGCCGAGGCGCCGGGCGCGCGCCGCCGCTCGCTAACCCCGCGGGCTGGGGCGCCAGGCCCGGCCCGCGATGTTGCGGCGAGCGGTCGTCGCGGCGAGCGCCCACGCATCGCGGGGGGCCACGCCGCCGCGCCCAGGGCGGGCCGCCGAGAGGGGCCCGGCTGTCCCGCGCAAGGCGAAGGGCCGCAAGAACACGGACATCGCCCGCAGGGGGGGGGTCGAGCCAATGGGCAGCAGTGCCCCGGCGGGCCCCGCCCCCCCTCGCCCCAGCGAGAATTCCGCCGCGGGCGCCGAGCGGCCGCCGCCCCCCCAGCGGTCGCCCGACAATCACGCGAAACACCTTTTCCAAGGCGCGGCGCGGCCAGAACCGCCGAGGAAGAGCCGACACCGTCGCGCCGCCCGCAACCGCGGCGCCGCTCCCAGACGCGCCGCTAGAAGACGCGACACCCCGCGCACGACTCGCACTGCTCGCCCCACTCGCGGCGCGAGGCTGCCAGCGCTGAGCCCCGTCGCGCCCCCGGGCGTCGAGGAACTGGCTCTGCGCGCGCAACTCGATTCCGTCGCGCCGTTCAGCGCCGAGGCGGCGGCCCTGAAAGCGCTGCAAGAGAACGCGGCGCTCGCTGCACAGATGCGAGGCAGCTGGCATTGGACCCCGTCGCGCAGCTCAACGCCGCGGCGCTCGACCTCATCGCGCTGCTCAGCGCCGCCGCGCCGGGCCCCGACGCGCTACCCGAAGACGCGGCGCTCATTGCACTGCTCGTCTCGCTCGCACCTCTCGACGTCGCGGCGCCCAGTTCGCCGCCGGCGCTGAGCTGCAGACAACGGCCCCAGAAGTGCCGCCCACGGACGCAGCGCTCATTGCACTGCCCGCCCCACTAGCAAATGCGAGGCCGCCGGCAGTGGACCCCATCGCGCAGCTCAACGCCACGGCGCTCGACCCCGCCGCGCAGCTCAGCGCCGCCGCGCCAGGCCCCAACGAGCTACCCGAAGACGGGGCGCCAGTTGCACTGCTCGTCTCGTTCATAGGTTCGAGGCAGCCAGCGCCGGGCCCCGTCGCGCTGCTCAACGTCGGGGCGCTTGACCCCGTCGCACTGCCCAGCGACGCGGCGCCAGTCCCTGGCGCGCGGCTGGAAGGCGCGGCATTCGACGCACTGCTCATCTTACTCGCGCGGCGAGGCCAATGGTGCTGGATCCCGCCTCACTGCTCAACGCTGCAGCATTAAACTCCGGCGCGCTACTCAGCGTCGAGGTCCTGGCCACGCTCGTCTCGCAAGTGCGAGGCAACTGGGGATGGCCCCGTCGCGCTGCTCAGCATCGCAGCGCTCGATTTGGCCACGCCGCACGGCAGCGCGGAGCCGGGCCAGGAAACGCTGCTCAAAGACACGATGCCCGTCGCTCGTCACACTCGTAGATGCGAGGATGTCGATGATGGATCCAGTCCGGCCGCGCAGCAACGCGGTGCCCAATCCCTTCGCACTGCTCAGCGTCGAGAAGCTGGTCCCTGACGCGTTGCCCGCTGCACTGCTTGTCTCACTCGCAACGGTGAGGTTGTTGGAGCTGGGCTCTGTCGCGCTGCTCAACGTCGCGGCGCCCCGCCCCGTCGCGCTGCCCAACGTCGATGTGCTGGTCACAGACGTGATGCTGTAAATCGCGATGGTCGATGGACTGCTCGTTTCGCTCGCGCGCGCGAGGCAGCCGGCGCTCGGCTCCGTCGCGCTGCTGAACGTCGCAGCGCCCCACTTAATCGCGCTGCACGGCGCCACGGAGCTGGCCCCAAACGCGTTGCTCAGGGGCGCGAGGGCCGCTGCGCCGCCCGACCCCCCCGCAGACGCGAGGACGCCCGCGCTGGGCCCCGCGCGCGCAGCGTCGAGATGCCTGATCCCGCCGCGCTGCCCAGCGTCAAGGTGCAAGCCGCTGGCGCGATACTCAAAGCCGCGGCGCTCATTGCTCTGGGTCATGAGTTCGAGGCTGTTGATGCCGAGTCCCGTCGCACTGCTGAACGCCACGGCGCTCAACTCCGTCGCGCTGCTCAGAGTCGCGGCGCTGGTCACACACGAACTGCTGAAAGACGGCGACGTTCGATGCCATTGGTGCCGGATCGCGCCGCACTGCTCAACGCTGCGGTGTTAAACCACGTCGCGCTGCTCAGGCTCAAGGTGATGTTCGCATACGTGTGGCTCAAAGACTTGGTCTTCGATGCGCTGCCCATCTCACTCGCAGGCGCGGGGGTGTTGGGGCTGGCTCACGTCGTCCTGATCACCATCGACGCACTCGAGTTCGTCGCGACGCACGGTGTCACGACCGTGCCGGACGTGCTGTCCGAAGACGCGATGTTCGTTGTACTGCTCGTCCCACTCATAAATGTGAGGTTGCTGGCGATGGATGCCGTCGTAATTGGCAACGTCGTCGTACATTCGAAAGCCGGACACTGCGGGCAGCATGGCAAACCACGATCCTAAGAGGACCAAAGACGAAGGCGTGAGGCACCAGGAGTCGCAAAGCCGTCACCAGGAAGCGGACAGAAGCGCGGAACGCGATGCGGGCCAGGGCGGCAACGAGAAGAATGCAAATGCCACAAGTCGAAAAAGCGCCGCTACCTGGGAGGAGACGTGAAGCGGCAAGGCGAAAGCGGCAAGGATGAGAAAGGCGGCAGGGGCGCGCAGAAGGTGAGCGAAGAGGCTACGAGACTGTAGGGAACCCGTGCCACGAACGAAAGCAATGGACTATAGACCGAAGAAATCAAGGAGGGCACCACAGACAGTCGATTCTGATAAATCAGAACCAGCACGGTACATCCAGCAGCTATAGGAGGATATGCGAAATAAGGTCCACAGGTATGTCCGCCAACACGTAAAAAACATGGAACGGCTACGGAAAAACTGGCGCAGCAGGAGGTAACTGAACGGGGGGAAAACAGCAGCACTGACAGCTAACACATCGGCACGCGGTCCAGCTGCGGCTGTACATGCAGCAGCGCGTCGCCAGAATGCAAAAGAGCTGAACAGCATGCCCAGGCCGAATCCAGGAGAACAAGCGCCGCGGAGGAGAGGACACACTATGGACGCCAAGGGAACGGGAGAGAAACAAGAAGGGACAGTGAGAGACGGAGGACTGAAGGCCGGGACGGGGAAAGAGGGGCGACGGGGAGGGTAAACGAAAGGAAAGGGGCGAGGACAAGGGGGCGGAAGAGGGTGATATATAGGGGGGAACGGAGAATTGCATCTTCCTTGTTTCGTGGAGTGATAGGAGGAAGGGGGGGCGAGTGACAGCATCGGCGGCAGCGATGTGCACGTTTTTTGGCAAGTGTGCAGCACCAGCACACCAAGAGACCTGCGACCACAGCTACGCGCACGCCACACACACACACACTTTTCGGCGCCGCGGCCTCGCGCGCACCGAAAGGGCGCCCAAAGTCGGAGAAGAGAACGCCCCCACACACTCTCTCTCTCTCTCTTTCTGTTTTTCTCTCTCTCTCTCTTTCTCTCTCTCTCTCTCTCTCTTTCTCTCTCTCTCTCTCTCTCTCTCTCTCTCTCTCTCTCTCTCTCACACATACACACACTTTTGCGGGGCGCGTCGCGGCCCCGCGCGCGGCGACGGGGCGTAGGAAGTCGAGCGCGGGCAGGGGAAAGCGCGCGTCTACGCCCAGCCGAGCTCTCAGAGTCTCAGAGCCCGCTTAGGGTCGTGCAGCCGGCAGCAGCCATAGCCATCCGGGCCTGAATCGGCGGGGAAGGCACTGAGTAGACGAAATTGCGGTGAGGGTGGAATGTAACAGCAGCCAACCAGGAGTTGAAGGCGGAGAGAGCAAGTAAGCCAATGTAGACCGACACAGCCGTGCGTCAAGAAACGACGCAGAGAGCGAGGTGAACTCACATACGCACACACACACACACACACACTTTTACGTCGGCGGCGCAGAGGAGCCTCAGGTGCAATCGGCAGGCGGAGGTGCCAATTGCGCACGAATTTAATCGAGCACGCCATGATGAAAGAGCCCTGCCACGGCCGTGCAGATTTGTGGTGGAACAACAGAGGCGCTGCAAAGCCAAGATGCAACGGCCAGCGAACCCACGGAGCGGAAGCTCGACGCAGGAAATTTGAAGCGCAACCAGCAGCCTGGTGCCACTCAACACACACACACACACACTTTTTTGATCTGCGGGGCGAGAGCGAACCTCTCCCGCTAAAAGCTAGGCGGGCTACGCACAGCTTGAATTAGGGAGACAGGGCACAGGAAGGCGGGGCCTCATCAACACACACACACACATACACACACACACACACACACACACACGCGCGCACGCACGCACGCACGCACGCACGCACGCACGCACGCACGCACGTGCTCGCTTCCTTGTGTACGCCATTGTCACACGGACGCGTGCACCACAACACAAGCCTGAGCACACAGCCAAGGGAAAACTCAGGCCCGTGAGCGCCGTGGGGCTTGTATGCAACACCGCAAGCCTGTCTATACCAGAAAGCACACGTAAAACATTAACAGTGTCAACCAAAAAGGCGTACTTGTGTATACCAGAAGCACTGAACTAGCCGATGCCCATCAAACGCGCACGGCGCGTGCATTCCACAGGGCACCGCAGAGCCTGCGCAAACACCAAAAGCCCGCGCAAGCCACACGTTTCCCTTCTCCGCGAAGTTGAATCAGCAGCCAGTCGTAGGCGAGCGGGACGCGCGAGCTAAATTGCATTCGAACGTGTGTCGAGTGCGCTCCAGCCTTCGCCGTGAAATCCCGGACGATAGGCGAGCTAAGGCGAGCAAGCAGGAAAGCAAAGAGGAGAACATGCAACTGGCGAGCGACAGACACCTGCAAAGCGCGGCCGATACAAGAGAAATGCGGGGCACCAACGCACGATGTGTAAGCGAAGCCGCCTACACCGCACAACGAAACACCGAGGCCTGTGTGCACCACAAGCCACTGCACGCACATGCAATTCTGAACTAACCACAAACATAAAACATACGCCTGGACACATCACGCGCGCAAGAGAGGGTACACCTCGAACACCCGGCTTGAGCATACCACGACCACCACCGCCGCCCTGGTACACCACCGCAGGCATGACCATAGGCCTACGCTGAGGCATGCGCGTGTACACCACTGGCCAGTGCACTCACACGCACAAGCCTGCGTGCGGGCGCCTGCCAGGCCGCGGCGCACTGCAGAGCGAAGGGGGAGGAGGAGGGATACGATGAAGAAGAGGAGGACAAGGAGGAGGAGGAGGAGGAAAAGGGGGAGCTAGGGGGAGCTAGGAGGAGGAGGAGGAGGAGGAGGAGGAGGAGGAGAAGGAGGTACACTGGCCACGGGCCAGTGCCCAGGACAGCGACGATGACGACGAAGACGGGACAAAGAAGATAACGAGCACGGGGAGGACAACAAGGGCGCCGACCAAGGCCAAGGACGGGAACCCTGAGGGCCTCGGCGGGACGCCCCAAGGCCCTTGGGGACGGCCTCGAGGCCGCTGGGAGAGGCCTCTGGGAGGCCAAGCGGTCTTTGGGCGTTAGCATTACCGGGAGGGGAGGTGACAACCGCGACCCCCAGGAGCAATTCAGTATTTGCATCGAGGGAAGTAGAAAGGGTAAAGGAAGAGAAGGGGGAGGGTAGGACGAGAAGGGGGGAAATGGAAGGCAGGAGGGGACGCTGGAGGGGAGAGGGGGAAGGGGAAGGCAGCCACAGGGGAACGGGAGACAGAAGTTCCCCCCGAGAGTTCGAAGCACACGGGGCAGTGTAATGGGTCTGGCGATGGCTGTTCCCAGGGCCCCAGAGACCTCGGATGGCGCCACCGTCACGGCAGTGATGAGGCACGGCGACTCGCGAAGCTCGAACACCAGAAGGACGGGACCCCGTCGGATCCGCGTGTGGACGCCGCTCCGCCAGACCCCAGGACCTCTGAGCGTAGAGCGGCAATCCTGCGGCACGGCCGTGGAAAAGCCCAGGGCGCTCCCTTGCCGTCACTCGGACGTTCATTTCCCGTGCATTTGTCGGTTTCGTGCGTGTTGTTTTTGGGCTCGATGGTCCAGGATGGTCCTCGACGGTTCTCGCCGAGAAAAAATGCACACGTCCGAGCGATGCCAAGCTCCCGTCAACCCCACGGGACCCCGCTGGAGGCCGCTGGGCTCCGCGGGCGCCGCCCGACGGTCTGCGCACAGTGAGAAGTCGGGCGCGCCCCTCTGCAGGAGGAATCTTCAAAAATAGTGCAGTCGGGGCGTTGACCTAAGGAACCCTAAATAAGGAACGAGGCCCCTTTTCTCCAGAAGTTGAACTTCGATTTCCCTTCGAAAACCTAAGGAAAACCTGAGGCAAGCTGTGAAACACCTAAGGAACACGGAGCCCCTCCCCAACGAAAAGGGTTCCTTCTTCAGGGCCCCGACTGTACAATATAGTCTGGGGACAATGTTTCTACTATGTTTGACTATGTGGGGATATATGTTTGGGGGGTCTTTAAAATTCTGTCGTCCAAAATCCGCCTGCAGGGGGACACGCCCGACCTAAGCACAGTGTTGTAAGACTTGACCGGCCGTGTAACTAGACGGGCGGCCAGCGCAAGAGACTCCGGGCCTGAAGTCCTCCGGCACTGCGCGGCCCGTGTTGTAGGGCAGCAGGTTCACGTGGTACCTCGGACAGCGCAGCCGTTCTCATGGCCACCGGCAATGCTGAGGACAACCGCGCGATACGTCTCCGTGCTGCTTGTCGCCCACATCGCTGGCTGGCCTACTGCTCGTCTCGACCCGACGCTCCCAATCAGGAGGTGTCGGCCCGGCGCCCGGCGCACGGTCTAGGCTGGGCGACTTTGACAGGAGCTCCTGTTCCGCCAGGAAGCACCCGCATCCACCGCGAGTACTAGGGGGTCATGTCCCGGGTCCCTGGGGACCGGGTGAAAGAAAATGATACCTCCCCGACCTCGGGGGCTGGCAGAGATCCACATCCACCGTTCTCCGACATCTCCCAGGCCCGGCTCCGGAGCGGGGGAGGCGGAGGGATGATCCCAGAGCTCAGCTGCCCCGATACGCAGCACGCAACACGTATCGTATTGATACGGAGCTCGACACGTAGGCTGAAAACGTAGGTCCGACGCGATACACTCGTCAAAACGTGGTCCAATACGTGGAGCCAACACGCAACATATTGACACGGACGTCTTGAACACGGGACGTATTGCGTTTCAAAACGGGCGTACCGAGGCAACCAAGTCCTGGAGCAGGGAGAAGGGGAGAAGGGAGGAGGAAAGGAAAGTGGAGGGAGGGAGGAACGGAGGGAGCGAGGGGCGAGGCAGATGGGAGGAAGGACGACAGGGGCGGGAATAGCGAAGAGGGAGGGGGGAGAACATGAGAGGAGGGAGAAGGCTGGAGGGAGGAAGGAAAAAGAAAAAAAGAGGAAGGGAGGGAGCGGGAAAGAGGAAGGGTCGGAGAGCGAGGAAAGGGAGGGCCAGGAGAGAGCGGTGGAGGGAGAGCGAACTGCCGGAACGTCTGAGGACGGCACAGATACCGCACCTCGGAAGGACGCTCCTCGCGGGCGGGAGATTGACTGGCGCTGGCCTCCCACCACTCTTTTCCTTCGTTTCCCCTCCCCCTCCCCTCACCCCTCACCCCTCTCCCTATTCCTCCTTCCCGCTCATCCCTTCCCTCTCCCCATCGTTCTTCCCGCCACCTTCCTTCCCTCCACAGTGACACATTATGACTACGACTGTTTTGTTTTTCTCTCCATCTTTTTGTTGTCTCTCTCTCTCTCTCTCTCTTTCTCGCTGGCAAATTTCCAATTTTTTCCTCCCGCAAACACCCACCAATTTCAGCATCTGCTCCGATACCGTAGTCATCAATACACTTCCCCTCGAGGGGGCTATAACAACACCCATCGGACACGTACGGCAGCGAGGCTCTGTAGCGACAAAACTCGAATGCGACAAGTGGCAAGCTGAGGAAGATGATCAAACGAACTCGCATGTCCTCAAAGTGGGTATCCGGGCTACTCCACGGAAGCACCACCAACAAAACAGAGGTGAGACGCGACAGCACCGACACTGGGCCATGCCCTGAAATTCCCCCATTTCAAATGAGTAACGACAGCCAAAGGGAGAGGAAGAGGGGAGGAGGAGAGGGGAAGAGAAAGAGGACAGAGGAAGCAGCCAGACAAGCTAGTGAAGTTTCGAACCCTCCCAGCCTCAGAGGATCGGAAATCGGGCACGCTCAACTGGAAGTTGCGTGCGGGAACTCTCATTTTTCTCATCCTACTGATCCTGTCAGGGCGATATCCGGTCTCGTCATCGCAATAATACTCGGCAGCAGCAGCAGCAGCAGCAGGAGCAGGCGGAACACGGGGCACCTTGCGGCACTGGCACTGCCACTGTGACACAGCACTGCCCTCGTAGTTCCAATCAGCGCCCTCATGACACTACGTCGCACCTCATAGCACTTCGTAATGTGACGGCGGCGCCCCCCCCCCCCCCAAAAAAAAAAAAAAACGCTCAAAGATAAATGCGAGCGCCCCCCATCCTCTTCTGACAAGCCTGTTTCGCATGTGGTGACGCGCCAGCACATTCGCAGCGCGATAATACGGCGAACTCCCAATAAGATTCTCGCGCACAGAAGCAACATATAACCCTACTGCCTTACAAAGAGAGCGTTTGGGTGTCGGTTGTCTAGACGATCCTGCGGCAGCTCGCCTGTAGCTCTCTGGCAGTCGTGCGTGGTTTACGGGTGGCGCGCGCCTTCCAGGAGGCATTCGGCAGCTCTTCGGTGGCATATCGGCAGCTCCCCAGTACCCTTTCGGCGGCCGTGAGGTCCCCAAGAGGCTGCCAGGAGGCTTCAAAACTGCTTCCACGAAGCCCCAGGGAGGCCTCTCAAGAGACCCCAACAAGAATCAATCAAACTACTTACCCAGATCCAAGGCACGGCGGCAGGGTGTGCCGAAACCAATCGGATAGTCGGTCCCCCCTTCCTCCTCCCCCTACTTTCCTTCCTCCCCACCTCTCCTCCTCCTCATCCTCCTCATCCTCCTCCTTCTCCTCCTCCTCCTCTCATCCTCCACTTGATTATGACAGCTCTGCCGTACAAAATCTCCGCGCGGTGACCTTTAAAAGCGATTGTAATGTGTATGCGCTCACGCAAGATCACCTCTGTAGGTATGCGTTGTTCTTCCGCCTTGCGTCGTCAAACAATCGCATGTTGCTGCGGCGGCCATGCGCAAGTACATATGTTTGTAGATAAATTGGGTAGCGGCGGGTTGGTTATGCATTTGCGGACGCCATACAGGTCCGTACCCCATGCTGCCGCATACAAAGTTGACGTTTGTGTGTGGCGCTGGAGCGTTATAATAATCACGCGGCGGCTGTGTCTGTCCTTCCTTCGGCATGTTCATTCCTGACTCCTCATCCTCTGTCTTACCTGTTCACAAGATTATTCCTTGCGCGGTGGCTTTTTGCGGCGGCTTTGCCAGAAGGCTTCCTCACGTGCAGGATGCGCATAAGAGAGCGCTTCCCCTGGTGGCGGCTTGCAACAGATTTCGATGTGCGTCGTCGTACAAACTGAATCCTTTGCGTGGCGGGTTACATATGGGTCTTTTTTGTGGCAGCTTACAAGTTGATTCCTACTGTGGCGAGTTGTTACAAGTCGATTCCATATGTGGCGTTTATGTGGCGGATTGCAAATTGATTCCTTGCGTGGCCGATTGCAAAGGCACTCCTCTTGTGGCAGATTGCAAACGGATCCCGCTTCCTGGCGGAATGCACATGGATTACTTTAGTGGCGGATTCCAAGTAGATTCCCTTTATGTGCCTTCAAATCTGAGAAAATGCTGGTGCTCACTGATGTTCAATGTTTTGGGCGAAACAATTTTGAACACAATACCTTCTGACATTTGGAACCAAAAACCATACAAACGCACAGCATGCTTAAACTAATAGACCGAACACAAATGAAAAAAATGATTGTGGAAGTGTGGTACATCAAACTACCGTGTTTCATCTGGCTTGGGTGCAAAAAGTAAGGACATGATGAGCTGCTATATGTTTGTGGCTCGAGACATTGGAAAACCAGTGGGGATCTTCGATACTCTTATGTTATAATGATGAGTTCGTTGTTGTTGTTTCTCTCTTGTCCACTGGCTCGTTAACATGGAAGCCAATGAAGGGAATCAATGTACAATCCGCCACAAAAGGGAAACATGTGTAATCCGCGCCGTAATCCTCTGCAAAAGGAATCCTTTTGAATCCGCCAATACAGGAATCAATCTGCGATACGCCACAGAAGGAATCCTAACTATACAAAGCCATCGCGAGAAGAAGCATTAACATGTCCAGACAAAACGATCTTCCCTTTACAAAAAGTGAGTATGTTTTTATTCTGGGTTCCGGCTTTAGGCGCATGGGGGGGAGGGGGGGGGGTCCGGCTCTCGGCCCGTAGTCAATGCCTTCGATTGAATCATGTGGGGAATCCTGTGGGAGATGCCGATGAGGGAATCCTAGGGGAGACCCCCCATGGGGGAATCGCGCAGCGGCTGCGCGGGGCTGCGCCAAGGCTACGCTTGATTTGGCAAGCCTGTGCCAGAATTGCTAGGGATCACCTATTCATGATTCCACGAGGCCGTCGCTGGCATAACAGGGGAGGGCCCAGCCGGAGGCATGCTTTCTGGCGATCGGGTCTGGCGCCCCTGAGCCCTTTCGTTGTGGTTCCAGAAGAGTAGCACGATAAAATGCGCACAGTTGCACACATCAGCGATTCGAGTTTCTACCGGGGGAGGGGGGGGGGGGCGCCGGCCCCTGTAGTTCGTCCGATCGATTGAAGCAGGTGCCAAAATCAGCCCGGAACTTCTCTACGGGGGGGGGGGGGAGGGGCGTTCCGCCGAAAGCAAAAACAAATAATAAAAGAATGCTCACAAAGGACATCGTTAACAGAACCAGATTTGACCTTTACGGGGGGGGACAGACATCTCTTTCCTGAGAAGGGAGCGACCCACGCGTCACACCACCATGCAGATGGTACACCAAACCCGTCCTCTCCCTGGCACTGGCCAGTATCTGCACACCATGGATGCCCATGGGAGTTCCTCGGGATCCGAGGGGAGGGTGAGATCTGGCCGGTGCAATTACAAATCATCTGGGGGAAGAGGACTGGATCTTGTGCCACGGCGGCAACCGGAGTTTCTCGCTGTCGCCGTGGCACCAGCAACCTCCAGGGATCACTGTTGCTGCCATGACACTAGCGACAACAATCGGGGACGCCTCCCCATGGATATGTGCCGTGCTCGCGGGCATGGTGTGTTGCTGACAGGCACCCGGGAGCCTCCAGACGCCTCTAGAGGCGGCCGTCGTCGTCGTCGTTTCGTCGTCGCCGTCGTTGTCGTGGTCGTCGTCGTCGTCGTGGCCGTGGTTGTCGTCGTCAGCCAGGGCCTTGTCGCGAAGCCCGGCTGGCCACGGAGCAGCTCCCAAGGCGTGGCCAGCGGAGAGGGGGATCGCGGGGTCGGCTCCAGGTGGCTCCCAAGCCTGGGTCAGCCAGAGGATCTGGGAGGGGACTGGCCGATCCACGTTAGCGCCGACCCTCGTTGCGTGAGCCCCGGAACAAGAAAGTCTCGCGGCCGCCGGGCATTCCCGCGTCTTGCCCTGGAGCACTACGCTCTGCGGGCAAGACGTGAGAATGCGCGGGTCGGGTCCAAAACGGCGCACGGGCCAACGTCGAGAAAAAAAGCGGACGGCGTGCTTCGGTCCGTGGCGCCCAGGATGGAGGGCAGCGGCGTTGAGATCATCATCAGCCCCAAGATGGCCAGATGGCCACGAGGGCGAGGACGGAGCCAAAATCGGGACACAAATCGAATCGAGATGATCCGGTGAACTGGTGAACTCTGAAAGCCAGCGACTCTAGAAGACGTGTCGGCCCTTCCAGAGAGCTCTGGAGTGCTCCGAGAGTATATTCTGGAACGCTCTGGAGCGATTGATCCTCATCCTGGGCCAGCTTGAGGCAGGCCAGGGGACCCAGACTTGGGGGTGCGGGCCAGGTGGGGTTAGGTCGGGCGTGTCCCCCATACAGGCGGATTTGGGGGGGAAAGTTAAGGAGGAAGACTCCCAACAAGAAATCAAAAATAGTAAAAAATAGCCGAAAAATCGTCCCCAGAGTATTTTTATACTATCTTGAATTTTCCTCCCGTAGAGGGACATGCCCGACCTACAGGTGGAGCAAGGCAGCGCCACCTGAGCGGCGGCGCGCACGTACTCTTCACGCCCCACTCGCCCAGGCCTCTCCGGCGCCCTTCTCCTTGCAACAGTCGGTGCGCTCGGGCCCTCGACCTCGGCATCCGCACGGCCTTCGCGCCGTGCCTCTTACTCGGGTGGGGCCCGAGACGGGCCTCCGAGGGCCCAAAATCTCTCGGGAGGGGGCGGCGCCTCGGCTCGCTCCCTGGACGCCCGAGGCCTGGACGCCCGAGGCCCTGGGCCTGCCTGCGCGCGCGGGTCCTTCATCAGCTGCACGAGCGCCTTGGCGTGCTCGGGGGTGTCGTTCTGGCCCCGCAGCAGCAGGTAGCAGATCCAGACCTCGGCGCGGCCGCTCCCTGCAGCCCGGCGGGTGGACGGGGGAGGGGAGCGGAGGCATGCCACGCGAGAGGCCCTCCCCTCCCCTCCCCGTCCCTCCCCTCCCTCGCCCCTTCCTCCCTCCACTCCTGCTTCCCCTCCGCCTCCCGCCCCTCTACATCTCCCGTCCCCCCCCCCCACACCTCGCCTCCTCGCCTCCACGCTCGTCCCCGCACTCCATCCTCTCCCTCCCGCATCGCCCTCTCACCCTCGCGCTCCTCCTCCTCCCTCCCCCTCGTGGGGGGGAGGCCGACGGGGCACTGCCATCAGACCGCCAGAACCCGCCTGAGGTGCAGGCGCGTCTGCCCGTCTTCCTGATCCGCCGGTCCATGACCTCGAACACCTCGCGCATCGGATACCTGGCCGGTCAAAAGCGGCCCTGGGCGGGCAGACAGCCAGACCAGCCCACCTCCAGGAGACGCCCGCCCCAGCACGGATAGGGCGAATGGCGCCCGAGCCAACATGAGAATCCCGAACCTGTCCCTGTCCTTCCTTACACCCCTGCCATCCAATAGGTCCGGTCGCAGGCCATCCCTAATCTGCCCGCAGGAGTCAGCAAGAAGGGTAACAACTGGGCCGACGAGATGGCCAACCTCGGCAACGACCTGCACGACGCCCTGGGCCACGACCTCAGGCGAGTGCAGCAGATGCTCAGGCAGCTGCGGCAGGGGCCATGAGAGACCCACCCAGCCAGCCACGCTAGGAGAAACGGAATTGTAAGAATACATGCCGATCCTGCCTAGGCTCACTCTGAGCCCACCATCGGTGCACACGCTCAAGCGTATACAGTCAAAACGTGTATTAAGGACGGGGGGCAAGAGCGCAAGACCCTTGGAGGCCCAAGTTGGGATTTTGGGAGGGCGGCGGGCGACCAGTGAAAACGGCGAAGGACGGGCCGCAGAGGCAAGGACACAAAGGCACCCTGGATGAAGGCGCGCGTCCTTACTAGGCGCGTGGACTGTATTCCGATCCCGTTCCCAGCGTGGGCCTGACCGGGATCGGCGCGTGCGCCTAGATCTCGCCACCCAGGCACGCACCTGCGCCCCTTCTGCTCGGCGGCGGGGCGCGCGGCGCCCATCCCGCATCCAACGACTCGCGGCTGGTGGCGGCGTGAGAACGCGCGCGCGCAGGCGGGCAGGGAGAAGGGGAGGGGGAGGAGGGGGAGGAGGAGGGGGAGGGCTCGAGGGCTCGAGGCTGAGCGCGCGCGTCCGCCGAGACGAACACACGGCGGCGGCGGCGGCAGGCGGGCGCCTTCAGTCCTCAGCAGGGGACGTCCACGAAGCCGCGGGAGAAGGGGGGATGAAGGGCGACCGCGCCGATCACGCACCTACCCACCCAGAACACTTCTGCAACCCTTGCCCCCAAGTCGCAGGTTGGGCGCAGCCACGCCCGCCCCCATCGTGAGTAACTTGGGTACCCCAGGGCACATGCGGTTCAGCGGCACCAGCCGGTTGCGTTCCTCCGTGAAGGGCGAGTGCAGCGAGAAGGCCAGGTTCACCTCCCCCTTCCCGTTCCACTTCTTTCAGACGGACATGGAGAGACAGAGATAGAGAGAGAGAACCAAAAACCAGAGAGAGAGCGAAAACCAGATATTTAAATATTATGTATACATATATATACACATACACATATATATACATACAAATACATATACATATACATATACATATACATATACATATACATATACATATACATATACATATACATATACATGTAAATAAACATATACCTGTATATGTACATAAACATATACGTATGTGTATACATATACGTGTGCATGTACATGCACATGTACATGTACATATACATATACATATACATATACATGTACATGTACATGTACATGTGCATGTACATGTACATGTACATATGCATATACATATACATATACATAAACATATACATATACATAAACATATACATATACATATACATATACATATGAGTATACATATACATGTACATCTACATATACATAAACAAAAAGGTATACATATACATATACATTTACACATACATAAACATATGCATATGTATATACATATACGTATACACATACATAAACATATATATATATATACATATATACACATACATATATGTATACATATGCATATGCATATGCATATGCATATATATAGACATAGACATAGACATATACATACACATAAACATATACATCTACATATACATACACATATGCATATGCATATACATATACATATACATATACATATAGCCCTCTGAACCCACTAAGAACCCCCCTTTTCTCATGATTATATATGAATTTATATATGATTCCTACGAATTCCGGACTCAATTTTGAGGCTCTTTTTCGCCTCCTTCTCAACACAACACCCCGTACTCAACAGCCTCCTTCTCCAACACAACACCCGATACTCAACAAGCTCCCTCCCCAAGCTGAACTTGAAAATAACCTTCTACTCAACTCCCTCCGTCTCCAACACAACACCCAGTACTCAACAGCCTCCTTCTCCAACACAACACCCGATACTCAACAGGCTCCCTCCCCAAGCTGAACTTGAAAATAACCTTCTACTCAACTCCCTCCGTCTCCAACACAACACCCAGTACTCAACAGCCTCCTTCTCCAACACAACACCCGATACTCAACAGGCTCCCTCCCCAAGCTGAATTTGAAAATAACCTTCTACTCAACTCCCTGCGTCTCCAACACAACACCCAGTACTCAACAGCCTCCGTCTCCAACACAACACCCGATACTCAACAGGCTCCCTCCCCAAGACTTGAAAATAACCTTCTACTCAACTCCCTCCGTCTCCAACACATCACCCAGTACTCAACAGCCTCCTTCTCCAACACAACACCCGATACTCAACAGGCTCCCTCCCCAAGCTGAACTTCAAAAAAACCTTCTATATGAATTTATATATGATTCCTACGATTTTCGGACTGAATTTTGAAGCTTTGTTCGCATCCTTCTCCACACAACACCCAGTACTCAACAGCCTCCTTCTCCAACACAACACCCGATACTCAACAGGCTCCCTCCCCAAGCTGAACTTGAACATAACCTTCTACTCAACTCCCTCCGTCTCCAAACAACACCCAGTACTCAACAGCCTCCTTCTCCAACACAACACCCGATACTCAACAGGCTCCCTCCCCAAGCTGAACTTGAAAATAACCTTCTACTCAACTCCCTCCGTCTCCAACACAACACCCAGTACTCAACAGCCTCCTTCTCCAACACAACACCCGATACTCAACAGGCTCCCTCCCCAAGCTGAACTTGAAATAACCTTCTACTCAACTCCCTCCGTCTCCAAACAACACCCAGTACTCAACAGCCTCCTTCTCCAACCCAACACCCGATACTCAACAGGCTCCCTCCCCAAGCTGAACTTGAAAATAACCTTCTACTCAACTCCCTCCGTCTCCAACACAACACCCAGTACTCAACAGCCTCCTTCTCCAACACAACACCCGATACTCAACAGGCTCCATCCCCAAGCTGAACTTGAAAATAACCTTCTACTCAACTCCCTTCGTCTCCAACACAACACCCAGTACTCAACAGCCTCTTTCTCCAACACAACACCCGATACTCAACAGGCTCCCTCCGTCTCACACACACACACAAGTACTCCAGATCCAAGCACCACAACACGACGCGACACCCGAAACTCCAACCGCACCCGCCCCCCTTTTTTCTCTTGGCAAGTTCCTAGAGAAAACGGGGGTTCATGTTGGTGCTGAGGCCTACATATACATATACATATACGTATACATGTACAAATACATATACAAATACATATATACACACATGCATAAACATATACATATGCATATACATATACATATGCATATACATATACATAAACATAAACATAAACATAAACATATACGTATGCATAAGCATAAACATAGACATAAACACATACATAAACATATACATATACATATACATATACATATACATATACATGTACATGTACATAGTCCTAGGCATAGACATATACACATATATATATGTACAGATATACACACATGAAAAGGAGCCTTGTGCGCCCCCGTTTCTTGAAGCGGTCCGTGCGGACTTTTGAGCCGAATCCCGAGGAAGAGAAGAACTGGAAAGGTCTTCGGTGGCATTGGCACGAGCCCGGTCAGACAACCCTCAAAAATAGATATATTAAGTGTGTTTTTGTCCTCGGGTGTGTTTGGTTCCGAACCGAAGATCATAACACGAACCGCAAACTCACACTATTTGCGTCGGCGGCTGGGCAGAGGTCACTGCTCCGGCGATCTGGCATCAGTGGGGCGCGCTAGATGCAAATTGTGCCGCGGTGCGCGGGGAGAAAAAGGAAGCCCGGCGCAGGCGGGAAGGGAGGAAGCCGGGCCCGCCGGGCAAGTCCCAGCGGCGGCGGGGCGGGCGCCGGGGGGGGAGCCAGCCGCAACGCCAGGCAGCAGCTAGGGGGAAGGCAGCCCAAGGGCGGGCAAGCACACACACACACACACACAACAAAAACACACACACACACACACACACGACACACGAATGTGTTGTTGTCCTCGGGTGTGTTTGAAACCGAACCGAAGATCAAAACACGAACCGCAAACACACACACACACACACACATACACACACACACACACACGCAAACACACACATTTTTTGCGTCGGCGGCTGGGCAGACGGTGACTGCTCCGGCGCCTTGGCAACAGGGGACACGCCGTATGCAAATTAAAGCCGTCAGGCACGGAGGAAGAGGAGGAGCCCCGGCGCGACAGGAAGAGAGGAAGCCAGGCCCACTCAGAGTCGCCGACTGCGGCAGGGGAGCGCTGGGGGGGGTACCCAGCGCTGGCACTGAGCTGCACTGAGCTGCACTGAGCTGAAGCTGGGGCAAGCGCGGCCCAGCAGACTGAGCGCTGTGTTTGAAGACACAAACACACAAGAAAACAAAACAAAACAAAAAGTGGGGTGGTCTTTGCGGGCTCTCCCATGGGGCCCAGTAGGGCAGATCCCAGAGTCCCCAGGGACTGTTTTTTTGTTTGTTCAGTGTTAGGTCGGGCATGTCCTCCTACAGGGGGATTCTGAGCGAAAGATCAAGAATAGATGTACACACATTAAAAAAAAACAAACACATAAAAAAGTCCCCATGTTATGGTTTACTAAATTTGAAAGCTCCTCATGTAGAGGGACACGTCCGAATTGAGTTTAGCGTTCCTCGGTTCATGTGTTCCGAACTGAAAACCAAACCGAGAAAGCTTTGGGGGGGTCCCGCATGGGGGCCCAGCAGGACAGATCCCGAAGAGTCCCCCAGGGATTAGCTGTTTGTCTTGTCGGCTGTCCTTGAAAGTTTTTGGGCTCCGAGCTGAACCCACCCGCCCACCACCAAAAAAACAACCACAAAAGTGGGGGGGGATCTTTGGAGGCTCTCCCATGGAGCAGGCGGACGGGCGTCTCGCTCCGACGGCGACATGAATGAGCTCTATTCATTCGTTGGTGGCTCTGCGAACGCGACTGGGGAACCCGAGCTTGTGCCAACAACACATCTGAAGAATAATGACAACAAACGTAGACAATAATTCAGAAGCCTTAGGGGAATTCCGGCACAATATTTCGCATCAAAATCCGAATGGGTCTATTTCAAATACATCATGCGCGCGTTGAGCAGGATCATGTCCCAAAGAATATGAAAGATGTTGCCGCCATGTTTGGTGAAGCGCAGATGCGAGACGCGCCTCCAGCGGGCCTCACAATTGTGCTGTTCATGGTTGCAATTGGAACGTACAGTTCTTTAGCGTCGTTGTTGAACACATGAAGCTTACGACAAAAGCTAAACTTTCAACAGCCTTGGGAATCATGCGATCATGACCAGGCTCAAATGTGTAATCGTTACAGGAGAAAACAAGAATGAATCCGATTGGCCAGAAGGTGGTACCAATGAGGTTTGGCGCACATCCTGTCTAAAGAACGTGCATGTCGGCGGTAATAGAGATCCATTCGCGAATTGATGGGGCGTTTCCCGAATGCGAGCGACATGTCTTCTTCTTGTATGGAAGTACCCAATGGGTTGAAAAACGTCGAGGGAATATGTGCGCTCCGTACTGTGCAGATCCTGCTTTGGTCCCAATGAGCTCATGGTACTGAGACACACGTGCCGGATGAAAATGTGTCAGACCTCCTCAGGCCGAACGTAAGGAAGATGAGCCATATGTGCTTCCAGTGCAGATTCACGTTGTTGCACCTATACCGTGGCGTGCAGGCAATGTTGCAGCATATGGAGCCAGCGGGATGCAAAATTCAGACATGCAAAAAAAGCAGCTTGTAATCTCAGTTGGTTTAAAGGAAGAAACAGCCGAGCCTGCGCGACCGAGACAAGACAAATCAGGAAGATGCGCATCACGAAGAGGAGGCGCCAGGGTCTGCCCGCAGGCTCACAAAGAAGACGCGACAGAGGACCCCTGAAATAATGTTTTCGTCATACGAGAACTAATGCATTGGCATGCTATGTTTTGTTCTCATAAAACGCCAGTGCTGTCGTCTGTCTATAAGCAAACCAAGCAATACGTTTGGCAGTGCAACCCCTGTCAGAGAGAATATCAGAGACAGGTCCCTCTGACATGATAGTTGCTCCTCCGCAAACTTGTTGCATCTGCATGCGTGCGTGTTTCCCGCATAGCGACTCTGTCGCCCAACTACACGCAACCGACAGAGAGGAGATCAGCACAAGGGAATATCTCTGCCAAAGAGGATATCTCTGCCAGAGAGGATATCAGCACAAGGAAACCCTGGGGTTGTTTTTGTACCAGAAACTCTGCATCTGCATGTTGTGTGGTTACCCACAAGGCGCTTTTCGGTCGCCCAACCATAGGAAAAGGGCAATGCTTGTGCTCGAAGAATCTCCGCCAAAGAGAAACAATATCAGCACCTGGGGGGCCTGGGATGAGTTTTTCGTCAAGCGAAAAACTGCATCGGCATTTCACGTGGCTTTCCGAGGCGCCGCTTCGGTCGTCCAACTATCAGCAACCACGATACGCTTGGCGGCGAAATCTTCGCCTGAAGGTAGAATATGAGCACCCAGGGGGCCTGGGGCTAGGGCTTACCAAAAAGATAGAATCATACTCGGTACCTTTGGAATGTACAAAGAGGGTGAGACAGATGAAGAGAGTCCGATGATCACGGCAATGCAACGTTGATCCATGTCCAAATCGTTCGCGCGCGCCTTTGCAACATGTGTCAACAAATGGTGGGTGTATGCATAGTTACACAGTCATGTAATTCTCGCTTCGGCAAAACTAGTTTGATGTGGGACGCAAGAGCTGGGCGCACAGCGTTCCCCGCCCTATCAAGAATATCGGCACGTCGATAGACAAATACGAACAAGTGTATAGACACTTAATATACAAAGAAAGGAAAACCTAAACCAGATACCAGAGACCAGACTAGAGACTAGAGCAGAAACAACTACAAGTTGAGAGACGAAGATGTAGATATCGAGAGAGAGAGAGAGAAAAAAAAAAAAAAAAAAAAAAAAAAAAAAAAAAAAAAAAAAAAAAAAAAAAAAAAAAAAAAAAAAAAAAAAAAAAGTGAGAGAGAGAGAGAGCACGTAAGAGAGACACAGAGAGAAAGAGAGAAAGAGAGGGAGAGATCTATATATATATATATATATATGTCACAAACAGAAGGAGAAGGAAAGAGAGAGAGTGAGAGAGAGAGAGAGAGAAATCAAACAACACAGAAGAAGAGGCAGAGAGAGGCAGGGAGAGATGTAGAGCGAAGGGGGGGGGCACTGAGAGAGGGGGGGGCGCAGCGATAGGATTGAGCCACCCGGCGGCGGAGACCCCTGCCATCTGCCCCCTGGCCTGAGGGAACTCCTCCGTAAGCTTCAGGATCCCTGGGATCACGCCCACTGTGGAGACCTTGGGCATGTGCACAGCTCCCAGCTCCTCGTCTCCCTAGCATCCTCGTCATCGCCCTCCCCCTGAGAAGACCATCGGCAGCACCACCTCATTGACACTGTCGTGTGGATCGCCCTCGCTTCCAGCGAACCGGAAGAACAGAAACCATGTGCAGCAGTCTGGCCGAGCCCGAGATAGGATCCAGCCCGCTCAGTCGAAATCAAGCAACAACGGTCGCCGGCCCGCCGTTCTTCGCATCACAAAGACAGCAAAGGGCAACATTCTATTGTTGATACGAACACAAACGATGGCCAAGCCAAAAGAGAAGTCATCCAGGGCAGCATTGAGAAAAAAACAGCGCTTGAAACAAATGACAAGCAACTATGCTGTCAAGCCTGTCTTGTTTCATGAGCGCCCCGTACCGTGGCCACGTCTGATCAGAGGATGGTCGCTGAGCAATCCGTCAATGGCTCGAATTAGAAAACACGTTATGCCCACTGCCGCCCTTACGATACCAATACACATACGTCGCGATGGGCATCTAGGCCAACCAGGGCACAGACGTTGATGCGTCGCGCAGACATTCCTAGCAGTTCCTGGGACGTCATGATGTTCAGCGCGTCAAACACCTTCGGGTTGGCAAGCGGCTCGCCCATGCCCATGAGAGACACGCTGTCGATCTTCTGATCGCGCTGCATGAAGTACAACACCTTCCCACTCCCGCTGCTCCATCACCCTCGTCTTGCTCCTTCGCCTGCCCTTGCCCCAACGTCCTGAGTTCGAGAGCTCCGATTCCTCCTAGCAGCGAGGCCGCCCCACAGCAGGACGGAGCTCGCCGTGCCTGGTGACTTCTTCGCTCATCCCACCAAGCTTTCAGTCGGGCGTGTCCCCCTACAGGGGGATTTTGGACGAGAAGTGTAAACTACCCGAAAAATACGCAAGAATGGCAAAACAAAATGCTCAAAAAATTGTCCCCTGACTATTTTTCAACTATTTGGGAATATTCCTCCTGTAGAGGGACGTGCCCGACTTAAACCAACCTTGAAGCCTCCACCTCCAGACACCCCCCCCTCGCGACCCACCATCCTCAGAACAGTCCGCCCTCTTTCCCTGAGAGCCCGAGTCAGGAGAAGACGGTAGGAGAGAAACGATCGGGACGATTAGAGCGAGGAGCCAGGAGGGAGGAAGAGGGAGAGGAGAGCAGAGGGGGAGGTGGAGGAGGGGGAGGGGCCAGGAAGGGGGGAGGAAGGCAGAATCCTCCGAACACGACTGGGATCACATGATCCCCCCAAACCGTCCTTCCCAATTCTCGGTGCCAGAGCAGAGGAGGGGCATGGTTGAGACGAGGAGAGAGAGGGGGGAGACGGAGGAGACGGAGCAGGACAGCATTATTAAAATCACGAAGACAGGCTCCGGATTCACAAACTGGAATGTGGTGAGACCAAAAGGAAGGAAGAGGCAGCTCGCCTTCTTGATCTCCTCCGGCAATCCGCATGCTCGCTGCAAGCTCGCAGCCCCTTCTCCTGCCGACGAGCCACCTGTAGATGTAATTACCTCCACGGTGCAATCTCGAGGCCGTGGTAGCAGTGGCGCCCCCACAGCGCTGGGGCGATGCGCATCCATGCTGGCAGGCAGTACTGGAGGCAAAAAAGGCGGGACGCGAGGAGGTGCAGCAAGCGCAACGACTGCATTGCACACTGCCCTGCATTGGGCACCATACCGCCAGTGGGCCCAATTGGCCAGGGCATCGGGGGAGCCAGGGGGGGGCAGCAGGACGAGGCGCCACGCTGGACGAGCAGGCGCCTCGCAGGACGCGGCGCCGGACGCAGGACGGGGCGGGGCCTGGTCGCAGATCTCGTCCGCGTCCAGCTGCCGTTTCAGGCCAACCTTCGGGGCGCTCCAGAAAGGGCCCTCGCCTCTGGCACATGCCCTCGCCTCTGGCGGAGCGCGGCGGAAGCCGGCGGCGGGCCCCATAGCGGAACCCAGCGAGGAGCCGCCTCCGCATAGGGGGGGCGCGTGAGTGCGGAGTCGTGGTACAGCTCCACCTTCTGACTCTCAACCGTCTGAAACGTCGAACTTTACATGCGCCGACTTCGGTTGGTTTTGTGTATGGCCCCACACGAAGCGTCCTGATGAGGGGTACTAGGACGCAGGGCTCAAAAAAAACAAAAGTATGGCGTCAACACTTTGGGGTTCGGCGTTTCTGGGCTCGGCCACCTGGGTCCGTGGTCGCTTGCCCAGGCACAACCGCGAGGGCCCTTCAGGCACCTCCACCTCCAACGACGACAGCATTGTTCACGACCACGACAACGACTCCTCTGTCCTCTTTCGTGTATTATTTATCCTCAATCCTCTTCCTCCCCGTCCTCCTCCTCGTCCTCCACAGAATCATCATCATCAGCAGCAACAGAAGCAACCGCAGCAATATCACCATCATTATCATAATCAGCATGATCAGCAGCAGCAGCAGCATCCTCATCATCATCATCACCATCACCAACACCAGCATCACCTTAAACGTCATCGAGATCGTAAACATGATCATCATGATCCCCCTCATCAGCATCATCACCACCATCATCATCCGCATCATCATCAGCATCATCATCAGCAGCAGCATCGTGATCGTCATCATCGGCATGACCATCGCCATCAACAGCAGCTTCATCAGACTCATCATCGTCATCGACATCATCATCAACATCCTCATCCTGATGTGAAGTCCCCCTGGCCTGCGAACCGCAGTCCCTGACCCAGACCGAAGGGATACCAAATCTGCGGTTGTCGTTCCTGGCCGCCTTCGCGTTGCCAGGGCGGCGGTCGCGCGTCCGGCCCAGAGGCTGGAACACGGCCTCCAAAGTAGAGGCCGACGAAGGTATCAGAAGTCGGAAGACCCAGAGGGGCACAAAGACGAGGAGAAGGGGCCCTTAGGGCAGCCGGCCAGTCCACCAGGGGCCTGGGCGCTGCCGTCCAAGGGCGGCCGTCGACCGCCAAAGCTTGGATCCGAGATCCGTGGATCTGGCGCGCCGAACGTACCCGCGGCTACAAGAGGCCACCTCCCAGATCGAGATTGCCTGCTGCGGCCACGCGTCCGAGGAGAGGGAGCGGCAGACGACGGCGACGACGAGGGGGGGGCCCAAGACCCGAGGCAGGCGAAGAGCGAGGAAGGAGCGAGAGTCAGTAGGCCGGGCGGCGCAGCACCTCACGGGGCTGCCGGGCGCGGGGCCGCCACGTGGACAAGCAACGAATTCCCCCCACTGCGCCGGCCGCGAGCCAGAAAACTCATTAAGCGAGGCGGAAATGCAGCACAGGAGGAAGGGGAGGAAGGAGAAGGGGGAGGAGGGAAGCCAAAACGCTGCGCGTCGACACGCGGCCTCCTGGCCCAGGCAACTCCCCGTCGGAACAGCCACGCCTCCACGGTTGTCCAGTCGCGAGAGCGCGGAGGATGGCTGTCGTTCGGGGGCGGGGCCAGCCGTAGCACGTGAACGCCAGCGGTTGGCACGTGATGTTTTGCAGTGCCAAGGCGTCCGCGCGCGCGGAATAGCACTCGACCTTGCGTCGGTGCATGGTGGCCGCGTAGTCACGGCCTGCGGCCACAACGTCGAGCGAAGCCACGCCAACATCGAGGGCCATGAGACCGATGTCCAGGGCGCCAGTGAGGACGTCTGCTGATCGGAGCCGCGCGCCTGGAACCAGGCCTTCGGCCTCGAGTTCGGCACCAGGATCACGGACTTTGGCGGCGTCGCGCACCCGTCGCGCCACTGCGCGGCGCCCCCGGGTGGACTCCGCGCGGCTGCAGCTCCAGGAAGGCAGCGCCGCCAAGGCCGCAGAGGCGGGGTCGAGATGTCCTGCTGCGCCGACGTGAAGGCGAAGAGCCTCGATGAAGTCTGGGGGAAGCCATTACTGGGCCCATGTGCTTGGACAGGTTCCAAAGCCGGGTGTGGGTGCTCGAGGTCATCGAACCGCCGCAGCACCGCGTCGTCGCCCGCGTTCTGGTTCCGGTCGCGGAGGTCGCGCCTGTCCTGCTCGTTGAGATGGCGGAGCAGCGCTCTCTGCAGGTGCAGCTGCCTTGTGCGCGGAGAAGAATTGGGGTGTTCATCACGCTCGTCCTCGTCCAAAGGGAGCAAATTGCGGCCGATGCCCCAGGGGCGGGGGCGGCGCCCGCTGGGGGCGGCTGCGGGCGCCTCCGCGCGCGGGTCGAAGAGCGCATCCCACCGCTCGTCAGTGCCCGCGAGCGCCTCCGAAAGCGCGGCAACGACGAAGGCGCCCTGCGCGGGCGGGGGGCTGAGGGGGAGGCGCGCGCTGGTCGTAGGCTGCCATGACGAGCTCCGAATCACCCAGCCCTCTCTCTGCGAGGTGCGTCGCCATCTCGCGCACGTGCGGTCTCGAGCATACGCGGCTGGCCACGAAGGCGGCGAGCGGCACCTGCGCGACGGCACGCATCACGGTCATCATCATCATCATCATCATCATCATCATCATCATCATCATCATCATCATCATCATCATCATCATCATAATCATCATCATCATCATCATCATCCTCATCATCATCAGTCTCACCATCATCAGCCGTATCACCATCACAATCATCAGCATCATCAGCAACAACATCATCAGCAGCATCCCCATCATCATCATCATCAGCATCATCATCAGTAGCATGATATCACTTGATTTACAGAATCAGCGATGTGTCTTGAAAGAATGTTGCGGCAGCTCGAAGTGGGCGAAACGGGCGACAGACTGAAATAATACATTCATACCTTGAAACCTGACTCCTGGACGCAGTGGGGCGGGGGGCAGCTTGACTCGCAATGGCAAGAGGTAAACGGTCGTAAACGACACAACTGCGCAACAGCTAAGACATTACTGCACCCGCACTCTCATGATATCGCCTATTTTACAGAAGCGGCGATGTGTGTTGAAAGGACGTTGCGACAGCTGGAAGCGGACGAAACGGGCGACAGACAAAAAGGATAAATTAATTACTTGAAACCTGACTCCCAAATCACTCCAAAAACGGATGTTCTCTTGTGCTAGGGAAAGCATACGGGGGCCGCGTGGCCCTAGTATGGGCTGAAAGAACTTGCACAAGCGCTCGGCACATTGAAGGCGGGCACGCTTGTGCGATGCGGGTCCAGTTGACCCCACCGGGGGCATGCCCTTCGAGGGTAGAGTGAGTCTTCCCAGTTCGCGAACAAACTCCAAAATCCTGACAGCGACGACACGAACGCTGGAGGTCGAGCCTATCGACTTGCCCGCAAAGAAACACGGCGGTTTTCCTCCACCTGGCCCCCAACTGACAAAAACCAGACGCGGCCTGGAAAGCCTTCGGACCACTCTCGAGCCCCAAGACAGCGGGCGTTTAGCAAATATTGGAAGAGAGCGGGTTCTCTATAACCAACGACACACGTGACTTCTGACACTCACGGACGATCCGAACGGCAGCTCTCATCAACCTGTTTCCCAAATCAATATGCCGTTGCAATTTTTCATACAAGTCGGGAACACCCATCGGCCACTCTGCGGTCCTCAGCGTCTGGCCACGGTGCTTCGCAAAACTGCACGTCACGCAAGGGGGGGCCCATCATGATTCCCAGCACTTTCCCAGCCTGTAGGTCGCCGAGAATGCCCCTCACCACCTCTGGGCGCAACCCATCTCCCGGGCCGCCGTTCACAAGGTCGAAGTAATTATCGCACTGGAAACCCGCCCAACTCGGCCGCCCGCCCGCAGCCTCCTTCCCCGCGGAAGACGTCGGCGAAGTAGCGGCCCTCGCGAACAAGATGTTCCCGCGGCCACTGGGCACTGGCACGGTCCGCCCGTGGATCAAGATGCCCTCGAGCTGCCTCTCGCAGTCGGCTGCGCGGTTGGGCAGCCACTGGGGGTGGAGCGACGCGGAGTGGCTCAGTCGGGCGGCTTTCTCGCAGCGCACCACTGACTTGTCCGTTCGCCACCCTCGGCGCCGCTTGACATCTGCCAGGCTTCGCTCGTTCGACGCCCGATCGACGCTGGCACCCGAGTGGCGCGTCTGGTACGGCACCAGCTCCTTGAGGCCCAGGATCATCGCGCCCTCGCGGAACTTCGTCACATACTGGCTGGAGTCGACGTCCCATGCGCTCGACCCCTGACGCCGTCGTCGCAGCTTCTCCAGCAGCGGGCTGCACCGCTCGAACCACTTCGAGTCCAGTGCCAAGGACAGGTCGCACTCCCCAGTCTTGCTCGGGCAAAATAGCCCTTCGGGATTGATCAGCAACGTCCAGCACCGATTTCCTGCCTGTGAAGCCGCTGGATACACCCGGGCATCAGTCCCAGCAGCTGCGCAGGCCACAAGTAGGTAGACAGGCTGATCATCGCGAACAGCGCCATCTGCGGCTGCCCAAGCAGCATCAAGCAGTTGCACAACGCGCACCAGATGCAGAGCGGCTCCAGCCTTCGCGATCGGGGTGCGAAGATGCGGCGCCAACCGCGCGGGCCCCCCCGGGAGCGGGGCAGCCTGCGACCCCCGAACCCGTCGTAGGCGGGCACAAGATGCATCCGCCCAGCGATGTTTTTCATCCCTTTGCTCGGCTGTTCCCCCTGAAAGCACAGCGCTCCGAAGTAGCTGGCGAGCTTTTCGTCGAGGTCGCTAGCGTCGACATCGTCGAGCTGCTTCACCTCCACGCCCAGCCTCTGAACGAACGCGGCCACTTCCGTGAGGTAGTCGATCTTCACTCGCACTGCCACCGCGAGGCTCTCCAGGAAGGCCCCCCCGTGTCGCGCGAGGCCAAGCACTCCGAAAGGTATCTCGACCAGCGATGCTTCTGTCGGCGCTCCAGCACACGGTCGCGGCCTGCCTCGGCCGCGCCCACGCTCTCAGAACTCCCACTCGAGGTCGCGGTGGCTCGGGTCGGTCGCCCAGCGTCTTTCTCGGCCGCGGCGCCGGTGCTCCCCAGCTGGTCGCGCTCCACTGCCGCCTGCTGCTCGGCGTCCAGGTGCGAGCGAGCCGGCGTCAGCGCCCGCTGCCGCTTCGACGGCCTCTCGGCCGCCGGCTGCGCTACCGGCCTGCTCGCGGCCGGCGCCAGCACTCGCGCCCGCCCAGGCTGCCTCGCCACCGGAAGGGCGGCAGCTGGGGTTAGAACACGTCGGTGACCCGGCGAGGCGCAGGGCGGCGCTCCAGCCATCAAGACTCTTGCGAATGGCCGAGGTCTGAGATAAAATGTTTGCAAACCGTCGAGATGGGCTAAGATGTGCCTCTTTGCTCTCGGGTCGCGAGTGGTCAAGGCTGCTACTTAACACACCTAAAAGTCTTTCCCCCTTGCCAGGATCTGCTGCCACCCCCTCCCCGGGGCCCGAAAAAGGAGACCGGTCCCCCCCCCCCAGATGGCGGGCAAGCAAATTAGAAACACTCGGAGAGGCATCACAGAATCGACTGGGCCCATCCGAATTGTTGAGCTCACTGAGAACCCAACGCACAATGGTTTCAATGTCATGGGCGAGGCAATACGCGGCGGGCGCAAGAACCGAAAGTCTCTGCCCCTGCATCGGTCGAAACTCAAACACACTCCCACGTTCTCAACCAGAAGATGCTGGGGCACATCTTTTCGAACGAACTCAGCGCATCCCTCCGCAGGGACATTGCCAGCGCTCGGACCTCAAGGATCAAACTAAGTTGACCGCACTTCCACGCGCCCCAAAATCGAGGCGCCCAGCGACTGCGAGCCAGGCAGCTCGCGGCGATCTCGGGGAAGCCCAGATCGGCGTCGCACTCGCCCAGCGCCATGGCTGACTCTAGGCCATCGAAATCGCCAAAGGGCAGCTCGACCTCCTCGGCCGGCGGGGGCCCCGCGAGCTCCCGCAGCCCAGCGACCGCCAGGGCATGCCCCCGTGCCCGCACCGCGCGGACATCACGAAAACGGCCCTTCTCGCGGGTGCGCCCCGCGGCCTTCACCTCCCCATCGCTCCAGTAGCTTGCGGAGATACCAAATCCCCACTCCGAGGCGTCGCTAGCGCTGACGACCCGGTTCCACTTGGGCCACCAATCGGAGCACCAGAAAGGCATCCACCCCAGGAACGCCCGCAGCTCCTGCACCACGGAGTCCCAGAGCGGCCGCTGCACCGCGTAGTTCGTCGAGATGAATGCGCACACCGAATGAAAACACGATAGCGTCGGCCGACGCACCAGGCCACAGAAGATGCAGTGGCCCAGGATAGCATCCGCCATGGCCCCATTGGCTCGACCACGGTACAGGAGGTGTCGAAGCGCAGAGTGCACCCGCCAGTAGCGACGCTTCGTCAGCGCCGTCCGCTGGCTCTCTCCGTCCACGGTCACTCCAAGCGCCTCAACACACTCGCTGCGGACCTCTTCGCCGTGCACTAGCAGGTCGAAGCTCTTGAAGAGTTTCACCATCTCCGCCAAGGCCAGCTCAACGGCCTGTCGACGGTCGCCCATCACCCCCAGGTTGTCGACGCACACGCAGCGCCGAAGCTGGTGCACGCCACTGCTGAGAGCAAGCACCGCAGGGGCACCGTGGTCCTTCAGCGGCTGGGAGCCGCGCAGCGCAGGCACCTGTCGACACAGCTCCTCACCGATGTGCCGGCAGAAGAACAGGCTCTAAGTGAACCCCATGGGCAGCGCATGCGCCATAGGCACGACCATGTCGCCCTTCCGGGCGGGCCACCCATCGATCGTCTCGCCCACCACGCCGACGTTCTCGGCCCTCACTGCCGGTTGCCCAAAATTCCGTGATAACCACTCTGGCATGATCAGCCGGTGGAACGCGTCCTTCACGTCCGCCACGCCCAGGCAAACTGGCACCGCGCCGCCCTCGAAGTCCTCGGCCTCGATCCCTGACAGCCCCTCCGCCGCCAGCAGCTCGACGCGGGGCGCCTTATTAAACCACTGGTTACTCTTCCTGCAGTCAAGTATCATTCGCATCTGCACCCGACCACTCTTCCAAACGAAGAACAGCCCTGTCTCCTCGGGGCAGGCTCAGCCGGGGCGCAGCAGCCCTCCAGCCCGGAGGCCCACGATGAAGTCCGCGTAGCGCCGTCGGCTGCGGCCCGGCCCAGGACCCACATATCGCCTGATAGGGTTGTCATGCACTAACTGAAGTCGATCTTCCTTCCGTCGATGCATTCGTCGGCCCTCACCCTCCGAAAATCGCCAGCACGCGTCGCTGAGCTCCGACAGAAGACGACAACCCATCACGCTCTCAGGTAGCGACACCGCATCACGTCGGTAGGGGGCATGCGTTCTGCTGGCGGGCTCGAACTCGTAGACGGCCCGACAATGCAAAAGCTCGCGGAAAACATCATGCGGCGACGGGACGGATTCGTCACCTGGCGCCGGCTGCATCCTGCGCAGGAGCCCCTCGGCGCGGGCGGCCAGCCCCGCGCGCTGGCATGCCACTCGCGATGGCCTCGCCTGCGTGGAAGTCGCATGCCGCGAGCCAGTTCAGAGCCGCGAGAGCCTCGTCTTGAAGCCCCCGCGGCCCTCGGCCCACGGCACCGATACCGCGGCGCCCGAGCGGCCGACGCGGCGAGGGGGAGATGTCCCGCGAGCCGCTGCAGGGCCAGAGGCATCCGCGCCCCGCGTGCTGCGGGCGAAGGGTCGGGCTGCCCCCCCCGCCCGGGTCGCTGCTCATTGGGCCTCCGCCGGGGCATCGGCCCCCCGGCCACGGCTTCCTCGGCCGAGGGCGCGACCCTGGGGGGCCCCCTTCAGATCCCCAGCCTGCTCCTCTTCGCGGCTGCCCGGGGCAAAGCCGGTCGTCAGCGCCCGAACACGGGCGGAGCTCGCCTCGTTCTCCTCCCTCGCCCAGCGCACCCCGTAGATGCGCAGCGATGGGCCCACCGCGTCGGCCTGCGTGGTAACCCCATTGAAGTATCGGGCCATCCGCCATGAGGGAGCTGCACCCGGCTCGGCGCGCGCGTCGATGATGGGCTGCACACGCCGACAGATTTTCTCGAAGCTGACCAGGGAAGACATGTTGAGCTGATCAAAGCTTCCGCCGATCATCAGCGCCTCCACGAGCGTCTCCAGCTCGTGAAAGGCGCGGTCCGACTTCCCGATGCGGCGCTCCAAGCACCACTGATCAAGCCAGTTCCTCGGGTCACCCCCGAACCGCTCCATGCGCTTCAGCAGGTGCAACACCGCGCACGGACCCTCGAGCGGCGCGTCGTCGCACACCTCGGTCGACGACTCGCGGACGATATCCCTCCACGTCTTGAAGCGCCCCCCGTGCGCGTCCACGTCGATCCACAGAGTCCGCACGTCATCGGGCACCGCAGCCGCCTCGGCACCGCGACCGCCCAGCAAGCCCCTCTCTCCACCGGCCGAGCCCCCGCGCCGTTGCCTCCGGCCTTGGGGGGCGGCGCGCGCGACGGAGCCGGCAGCGCCAGCGTCCGATCGCTGCGCCAGGGCGCGGCCTCGCTGGCCCCGGCGGCCGCGATCGCTGGTAGTTCAGGCGCGTCTCGCAGCAGCTGGCGTCGCCCCTCCGCAAGCGCCTCCACGTCGCTCGGGCCCACGAGCCTCGCACGGCCGTACCCATCCGAGCCCTGGATCAGCGCCTGATCGCCCCAGACGTGAACCAGCTCTGTCAGCTCGATCACCTCGCCGATCTTCGCCAGGCCCAGCGGTTCGCACAGCATCCAGACCCCACCAACCCGAGGCGAGAGCGTCCCCATGACGCTAACCCCACCGGCCCCGCAGTCCAGCACACGGAGCGCCCCGCCGATCTCGGCCTCGGTCGGAAGCGGCCTCGCCACGAAGCCCGGCTCCAACGACGCGGTGCGACGGCACTCGGTCATCCGCGCGCCCAGCTCATCGGCGTCCGACCGCTCCTTAAAGCCGCACAGCCGCTGCGGCGCCGCGCGGTGGACACCACCCGCGAGCGGCCAACAGCGGCAGGGCCCCGTGGCGTGATCCGCCGCTGTCAGGTCCTCGACCCAGACATCCCGATCTGGCGATATCACGTACCACAACGCCTCCGACACCGGCCAGACAAGCACGCGCTCGTGGTCCACGTCGTCATCCACATAGGCGACGCGGACTTTCTCGCCCGGTCGAACCTCACGCAACCACCCCGCCACCGCGCCTCGCACGTGCAGCCGTCGTGACGGACCCGGGCGCGGCGGCATCCCTGCCGCGCGCGCCCGTGGTCGCCGCGGTCGCCCGTGGTCGACGGCACTGGCACCCGGCCGCGACCGCATGTGCCGGCTGCGTCGCCAGCAGCGCGATCACCGGCCCCCAGGGCCCCGGCCCCTCCACGGGCTCGGGCCCGTTTGTGGCGGGGCAGCTCTCGCAGGCCGCGAGCGCCGCCTCGCAGCGGGCAAGCGCCCACGCTGGCGACCCCTTCGGGCCGCTGTCCGCCGAAACCGCCAGCGGAGGCGGCGGAGGCGGCGGGGGCGGGGGCGAGGGTGGCGCCGCTGGCGAGGGCAGGTCCCTCACGACCTGCGCCAGCTACAGCACCAAAACCGCCCAGGCCGCGCCGGCGCCGCCGCGCGGGACCATCGGCCAGGCCGTTCCTGAGCAGCTTGACCCTTGATGGCAAGAGGTAAACGATCGTAAACGGCACAACTGTGCAACAGCTAGATTGTTGATAGCGGTTTAGTCTATCTCTCTGTCTGCTGAGGGTGTGGAGGGGGAGCAGACGCTGAGTTCGTCCTCCTCCTCTGGCAGTGCTGGAATCCCGGCCAGGCGGTATCCCTCCTCAAGGGTGTACCCCAGGCTGAGTCGACGCAGGAAGCGAGTCAGGTGAATCGCCTCCCGAACAGGGATCGTGAGGGGGGCCCTCCGGCGCCACGGATGCACCAGGCCCGGCCGCGCCGCCACCAGCAAGGCACGCACGGAGGCAAGGAAGCGAGCACGGGCACGACGCGTTGCCGCAGCTGTGCCAATGCTCCTATTGCCCCGGGGCGTACTTTTGTTTTTCTGGCGCGCGCCCATGGTTCTTGAGCCAAACGGGTACGGACCCTCATCCGTCCCGCGGCTTGCCAACCGAACGACTGGCAAATGCAGCTCCTAGGCTCAGCTGTGTGGCTGCTGGCCCTCCCAGACGCGTCACCGCAGCCGGGGAGGGCCAACTAATGACTATGTTGTCCCGGCCGCGTGGCCGATGAACGTTTGGAGGGCCAGGTTTGGCCCAGGAGTTTCGGCCACGCTCGCAGGACACGGTTTGTGCCCGCGGAGACAATAAATCGCACCCGGAGTAAGCTTAACAGACGTGATTCACAGGAGCTAACCTACACGTGCTTCTACCACAAAGTTAAATCTTACAAGTGCAACTCGCGAAGCGAGCTTGAATATATACTATAAGTTGTGGAGAACAGAATGACAAATTGCCCCCAGAATGCTCTCGGCAAGTTCGCGCTGCAGTGAGCCGGCGTGCCGGCAACTTGTCGCACCAGCCTTTACACTGCTCGCACCAGCTCTCTGCTCGCACCGGCAACTTCTCTTCTCGCACGGGCATCGCTTCTTCTCGCACGGGCATCTCCTTGGCAGCCACGGAAGCGCTCACTGATAGCCACAGGCATGGCGTCTGAGGAAAATGAGAAGTATACCCCCGAAGTGGCGACACGCCGGCGTCCACCCAGCTAGCGTGGACATTAGAAGTATACAAATAATCATTACACGAAAATGCAATGCCGCGGGACCCTGCGAAAAACGACCCCTTTTGGCTGAAATGGGTCGTTTTCTCCGGCGGCACACATTCGTGAGGCGTGACCCCAAGGCGGCCCATCCCCGAGACATTAGCTAACAAAGGCGTGATAAACTTGGCATGTTACATACGTGGCGAAGGCGGATACTCGGGAAAAATACAAGGACGTGTGGCAGTTTTTCCACACCCCCCTCGCCGAGCAGCGTGTGAGAACATTCAGAATGTCTGGCGACAAGGCCTCAAGGCCTGGTGCGGATCATGCCCATGAGGTCGCGGGCCTCCATGAACCTTGCCGGGGACATGGCCTTCGTGAAGCCGTCGCCCCGGTGCGTCGCGGTGGGCGCGTGCTTGAGGATCATCGCGCCGCGCTCCACCACAAGCTCGTGCAAGAACCCGATGGACACCTTGTGGGTTCTCTCTAAGAACTTCAGTTTCTTGCTGTAGCCCTTAGTGACCGCAGAGATGGCCTGCGTGTTGTCCACGAGCGCCACCAGCGGGATGTCGATGCCAAGCATCCGCTCGAGGAGCATCTGCGTGGGAATGCCCTCGTGCTTGGTGTTGTGGCTGAGAGCCACCGTCTCCGCTTCGGCTGTCGAGCCGGCCGTGGACGTCTGCTTGCGAACAGCCCACGAAAGCGGCCAGCGCCGACCGGAAGTCGGGCTGTGAAGTTCCACCAGGACGCCGCCTGTAGACTTCGTGTGCTCTGAGTCGCCAGCCCAGTCGGCGTCCGACCACATCAGGAGCTCCAGGTCGAAAATGTCATCGGGGGCCATCTCGGCGGCGAGGGCCATGGGGCCAGCGGCCTTCAGGTAGGCGTACAAGCGAACCAGTGCTGCGTCGTGGGTTGTGCTCCACCTTGACACCACCGAACAGAGGCGCTGCACGGCGACGGCGATGTCTGGCCGTGCGACCCGGGACAAAAACAGCAACGTCGCAACGTGCGAGGCGCAGCTGCCGGCGAAAACGCCGGGGCGCACGCCGTCTTCAGCCCACTGCTCCGGCGAGAGAAACGGCGACGTCACCTTGCGGAGCTCACCCCCGTACTCGCTAGCGAACCTGGCGAGGGCGTTGGCCACATAGTCGTCCATGTCCGTGTGGAGCCGACGAGCGGCCGACGGGCAGGCAGGGTTGACCGGGTCCATGGTGTAGCGGGCCCCCAAGTACCTCTCGATCTCCTGCTCCCGCTCCTTGAACACGATCGCCGTGTCGAGCGCCCTCCAAAATGGCCCGGCGATGCTCGGCGGAGCGATCATGAGCATGTCGTCCACGTACACGACGAAAATGCCTCCATCAGGGTGCACATGAACTCCAGGATGGTCGAGGCCAGCGGGCTCCCAGCCATGCTGCTTGAGAATGCTGTTCAACTTGGCTTCCCACAGCGCCCCGGCCTCGGGGTGGCCATACAGAGCCTTCTTGAGCCGGCAATGAGGCCGGACATACTTAGGTCTCTGGCGTGCTGCGCCGTCCAAGAACCAACTGTCTGGCCACCACTCCCGTGGGAGCTCGACGTAGGTGGGGATCCGGAACGGAGTGTCGATCAGAGCCTGGAGGTATGCAGCCTCCGCGTCCCTCAGGCTGACCTCCCGGCCGGCGAGGGCCGCGGCCGCCAGGGCAGCGCGTGCCGCGGCGAAGGATGCCGGAGCATTGGCAACTTCTTCGAACAGGTCTGCAGCCGACACGCCCGACTTAGTTCGGATGTTGGATCCTTGAAATACCACTCTAGCCTTCCATTGCTGAGCATCTTTTCCAAGCTCTTCTCCTTTTATCCCCAGAATTGCAAACACCCGGCCCAGCATAGCGTCAGAAAGGGACTCGTCGTTCAGAAGGTCCCGCAAACTGTGAACATCGCTGGTGTCCCAGACCTGCTTGGAGCGCATCCCGTGCAGCTCCTTCTCCAACGCCTTGCGGGCACCGTCGCAATCTGCCTCGGACGATTTGGGCTTGACCACCCGTGTCACGAGGGCGCACCACAGAGGGTGGCGCGGCGGGCCAGCATCATGCTCACGATGCTCGTGGCGCGGGTCGTCGTCACTGTCGTCGATGGCGGATGTGCTTTTGAAGAATGCCCGGGACCGCGGGACGCCAGGAGCAGCAGGTAAAATGCCTGCACGGCGAGCGCTCCAGAAGAGACGTGCGAACTGCTCCGTGTACTGGGCGGTCTGCTTCGCAATGTTCCCGCGGCAGCGGACGAACTCCTTGCTGTCGGCAGCTTCGTCGACGGAATAATTCTCGAAAGTCATCGTAACGGAGTCGTCCGTGGAGCACAGCGTCCACTCCTTCTGGGTGTACACCACGCGGCCTGCATGCTGATGCTGCTGGCCGACGGCGGAGGCCGATACCTTCACGAACTTGCCGCCGACGGTGTTGATCAGCTGGTGCACGCGGTCGTTCGACCACAGGTCGGAGTTTGTAGGCCACTCCCAGGTGACGTCCTGGCCCTTGTCACGAGCGTAGGTGCACACCTTCGCGACATTGGTGATCAAGGCCCGCGTCACCGCCATGGGGACGGCTGTCCAGATCATGGTCCTCAGTTTCTTACGGGCCGCCCTCTTCAAGATGTCTTGAACAGCTCGGAGGGTCTTCTCGGCGGCAAGGTCAAGCTGCTCGGTCACGCGGATGGCGATGCACCTGGCCGGGACGAAGGCGGACAGGCAAGACTCCGGAGAGCAGCACAGCTCGACGAGCATCTGGTTGTACTTGCCGCTCATGATGGCTGGCATCGCTGCGGCGATGATCTCAGGCACCGTGGGCGCCTGTATGACGAGGCCAGCCGGTGCTGCTGGAGCTGCAGGTCCTGCGGCGCGGCCGGAAGCCACGCAGGCATCGCTGGAAGGAGCATGGGCGTGCTGCCCGCCAGCTGCGGCCGAGCCTCGGTGCCAAGTATGCCGAGGCGGCTCGTAGTACACCTCGTGCGGGGTGCCCGAGAAGGCAGAGCACGCGAGGCGAGGCATCGATGGGACGGCCGTCACGACCTTGCCCTTCGCCTTCAGGTTCTGATAGTCCTCGCGCCTCTTCTCCTGAGCTGCGAACCCTGCGGGGTCAGCAGCCTTCCACTTGTGACGCTCCGCCTGCCTGTGCTTCATGGTCAGGGAGAGCCACACCTCTGGCTCGAGCGTAGGCGGACGAGTGGACCACGGTGGCGCCCACACCGAACGCCTGATGTGGCCGTCGGCGCCAAAGTCGTCTCGCCTCCAGCCGCTCGGCGGCGAGCGCCCGGGTCCAGGCTTGATCTCCCGCTGCACGACGGGGTCGGCGTCGACGCCGAGCCGCGCAGCTTCGGCGACGTCGGGCTCGACCGCAGCATGACCAGAATGAGGATCGTCGGCGCCTGCGTCTCCATCGCCGGCTTGGCCCACGACGTCCAGGCCCTCCTGGGAGTCAGGATCGATGGCCAAGGCGACGTCGAGCATCGAAGCCCTCGTCGAAGAGAACTGGGGGCTGTTCTCCTTCAGCATCCCGTCGTACGCAAGCACGTCCTCC